ACTCTAAAATATATATAAAATAACTGCGCAATGCATCCATTCTATTGCATGAAACACATGGGGATGCAAATATTACACCTCTTTAAAGCAGCTCTCCCTAATGGATGGATGGGCATGTAGAGAAAGAGAAATCTCACACTGTAACCTTACTGGTTTTATTTTCAAAGAAATAGCTTTATCAAAAAATACAAAATGCTCAAAGAACAAAAGCTAGTGTTTTATTTAAAAAATCCAATAGCAAAAGTGGTTTAGGAATAAAACAAAAAAACAATCCAGAAACTGGTGGCACAGAGCAAGGCTTTTCAAATGAATAAGAAATAGTTTTACTCGCTTTCAAAATTAACACAGTTCTTCTAAATCTGTATTCAAAAGTAAAATGAATTGTCCTCAAAATCCTTGTTCTTTTCACGTGAATGGCTTCATACATTTTGAAATACCTGCACATAAGTAATTGGAGTGCATGGAGCAACATTTCATAATAGAATGATAATATAAAAAGATCCTACTGTGTGTAGATTACTGTTCTTTATATATTTACAGGTAATCCTCAACTTACGACCACAATTGAGCCCAACATTTTGGTTGTTAAGTGAGACATTTAAGTAAATTTTGCTCCATTTTATGACCTTTCTTGTTACAGTTGTTAAGTGAATCACTGCAGTAGATAAGTTAGTAACACATTTGTTAAGAATCTGGCTTCCCCATTGACTTTGCTTGTTAGAAGGACACAAAATATGATCACATGACCCTAGGACACAGCAACGGTCATAAGCATGAACCAATTGCCAAGCATCTGACTTTTGATCACACGATCATGGGGCAGCTACAAAGGTCGTAAGTGTGAAAAATGGTCGTAAGTCAGTTTTGCAGTGCCATTATAACTTTGAACAGTCACTAAGTGAACTGTTGTAAGTTGATGACTACCTGTATATCCTCCCAAAATATTTTCAGGCAGCACTTTACACTGTGCATCCCATTATTGTCAGCCTGCATTCATCGCTTCCTGTTACTTCCAGTAGAAGAGTAGTTTTGGAAATATAACAAATAGAGGGCTATTCAATTATTAGACAATTTGTGAAACACCTCTATGAGCTTTTGTGGGGAGCAGTATTTCCTATGAATCTAACACCAGTCTTAAGCCTTGCATTATGTAGCCATGTCACTAGACTCACTCCTTGTTTAGCAACTGATAATTTGTAAATAGGATGATGATAATTCATTATCCAATCAAAGACCATATTTACGACCATTTTTGTGCAGCTGACAATATTGCACACTGGAATGAGTAACACTGGTGTAGCTGTAAGAGAGAACTTTATCTTACTGTGATCTTCACAGTGTGTCTCTTTTTCTGTCAGGTATTCACTCACGCAATCATTTCACTTAACATTCTGGTTGTTAAAATGGAACTCAGTCACTAAACAAAGAGTGGATGGAGAAATCCTTCAGCTTGCCCAAGTATCTAATTTATTCTTCCAGTGCTTATCCAGTTCCCATTTTAGTACAGGTTTCATTCATTCATATCCATATATATCACCAAATGCTACGTCTAAATTTTGATGTATCTCTTGAAACTACACATGGACAAAAGATTAAATTCCCACTTGGTGTTCATTAAAGAAGCAAATTTCTGGCCTTTCCTCTCTCCATATTTTGGTACAACATTTAAAATTACTATAATGTGAATATTAGTTTTTGCCTAGCCTTTCCTCACAGTAGGAACAATTAACTAATCTCCTAAATCGTCAGCACAGTCTTCCATTTCTCTTTAATATTTTGGGACAGTAATAGGTTCCAGCTCACTTTGCTTTCTTTGATTGTCTTTCTTAGCAGATAATTAACTTTCAGTGCTAGACAGCATACAGAGCTCTAGACTGTGTGCTGTCCACTTAGTTATTATGATGACCATTCAAAGTCAATGTATCTTTCCAAGACAAACTCCAAAGCTTTAATCTGATGATTGATGAGAATGCATTAAGGATCCTAATGTTTTTCCAATAATTAAGGATTAAATGTTTGCTCCGGAGGAAAAATGGTTGTAGAACATACATTTTTAAACCCTGGCACATCTGATAATAAATATTTACAGTGATCCGACATGATATATAAATGTCCAGTCACAAACAAATGCCTATATTTTACAAAGTAAATTTCCCTTTTATTATTATTTTTTTTTAAAGAAAAACACCGATACTGGGGTTTTGGTTTTTTTTGCTTTCTTAATGATCTTTTTAAGAAGTTGGGAGGGTTTTGTGAAGAGTATAATTTTCAAGTGACGAGAGTTTTCTCAACCAATTCCCTCAGTCTAAGAAGGAAAGGCAAATCTTCATAACCCAGCCCATTTCAAAAATCTCTGGGGCCCTTTTGCAGTGAGTCATGTTAAAAGAGTCAAGAGGCTGCTTTTTAAAAAATCTCCTATAAACACAATAGCCAATAGGGCCGCTCTCTGAACAATTGCTTTTGATTATTTAAAAAAGGGTCAATAATATCAATCATTATGTATCATCCATGTATTTATACTTGTCTACTTTTGCATACAAATAAGGATGACTTGTTTTTGTCAAGGGCGGAACACCCTAAATCAGGCATGTCAAACTCACGATGTCACGTGACATTGCGCAACGTATTGGGACAGTTTTGCCATTACCGGCAATGGGGTGGGCGCGGTTTCCACGTGATGCGTCCGGCCCGCGGACCGGCAGTTTGACACCCCTGCCCTGAATCAAAGTTGCAAGCATTCCAGCTACCGTACAAACATTCAAACAGTGCATATTAGAATCAGCATCATTCTTACGTTTTTTTTAATACTCTCAATGGCAAGGGATGCAGATAAAATTAATTCTAATCAACGTTAGTATTATAGTTATTTCCATAAGAAACAACAAGAAATTAAGTGACAGGAACCTATCCTAGTCCTATCTGGACTATCGGAATGTGCATTACAATTAAATAAAAAATTGCCAATGATGTACATTCATGGAAAAATATTTAGGAAATATTATTCAATTGTAAACATTCTCCCCCCCCCCAAAAAAAAACCCATCATTGAACCACTTGGTCAGTTGTTTAAAACAATGGTAACAGAACTCAAAATAGTATGTATACAATGTTGAGGGTTAGACAAAGCTAGAATGATTGTAGCGAAGTTAGCAAGATAAATCAAGGAGATTAAAAAGAGTGAAAACATTGTCCAAGTAAGAAAAATAAACATAGTGATACTTAAGACAGGAGTAAATTGCTAAGATAAATACAGTAAGATCCCATGGAGAAAACTGCTACAGTAACAAATTAAAATATTTCATCTATATACCTGCCATCCCATGTGTAATGAAACATGCACACCCACAAGGAAGCAAGCAGAGGAATGATTAATGTGTAAAACTAAATGTGCAGGTAGTCCTCAGTTAACCATGGCAAGTGGGACCAATAACTTTGTCACTAAATGACAATGACTATGGAGATTCTCAGTCATCCAGGTCATAGTTATCCCAAAGATGCTTTTTCACAAGGCAACTGGACTTTCTTGTTTTTCTTTGAAGTCGTTTTGCTTCTCATCCAATAAGCTTCTTCAGCTCTGACTAGTTTGAAAGAGGGGTCAAAGAGGCCATCTAGGTTAAAATTGAACAGCCCTCTCTCAACAGAGGGGAAGGGATACGACATCATCTATCTCCAGTCTACAACACAGTCCTTTCAACAGTTCCAAGAAGGCTCCACACCCATTTGCACTACTCAAGTGTCCCTGAAGACACAGATAAGCCTCCAGGTAACTTTAACAACTCGCTAAAAGAATGCAAATGAACAGCTGTTGGAAAGGAATATAATTCATTCTCCACCATCCAGCAAGAGCTGAAGAGACTTCTTGGATGAGAAGCGAAATGTTTTCAAAGAAGAACAAGAAAGTCCAGTTGTCTCGTGAAAAAGCATCTTTGGGAAAAGTGACAATGACTGCACTGATTTATGACAACAGTTCCAGCAGCTCTAGTTGCCATTAGACGAACCCTGCATTATGTCATGCGATCGCCATTTACGACCTCCTGGTGGCTTCCCCATTGCCTTTGCTTGTGGGAAGCTAGCAGTGGAAGTCGCAAATAGTGATCATGTGACCACAGGTTGTTGCAACCACTGTAATTGTGAGCCAGTTTCCAAGTGCCTGAATCATGATCACATGACCATGGGGATGCTACGATGGCTATAACTCTAAGAATCAGGCACAAGTCTCCTCATCCAGCACTGCATTAACTTTGAATGGTTGATGAATAAATGGTCATCAACCGAGGATTACCTATATAATGACAGTTCTAAATGTAAAATGCATACAGCAATAGAAACAAAAATATGGATAAGCATTCTTCAGAGAGCTACTTCTCTTTTAATTAAAAATGAAGTCAGAGTGCCAGATCTGGATTACACTGCTGATTAGGACTGAGGCCCTCTGTGAATTTCATGCCAAAATCCTTCTCTCAGCTATGATTTGCTACTTTAAAAAAAGTGTAACATTTAAGCATGTCACACATAAGTTGCATTATCAACCTGATTTCTTAGCTTTTCCATTACACAAAAAAATACTGACTAGATGCAGCTCAGCTGGACGTTCATTTCCAGATCACTGTTAGTGCTGAGGAAGGGAGGGAGGCAGGGAAATACAAGGCTGCAAAGGTCTTGGTACAGGTCACAAAAAGAAGCGGGAGAAAAAAGGTCCAGTGTGCTTATCTTTCACTCCACTGCTCTGGAGCAAAGAGGCTGACAATCCTAAAATAAATAGGAAGATTATAGTGCAAACATGGTCACCTTAATAAATAGATCATGCATAATGCAAATTCCTCAAGTAAATTAGGACAGGGATTGTCAGTAAGAAAGTAATAATACAGAAACAACATGCTTGGAGGGAGACATTATATATGACTCCTGCCCGTTTAACCTTTTTCCCTTCTCCCTCTTCAAACAAGTTCATAATTCATGATTCTACTTCAAAAGAGCCGACATTCTGAATTCTTCTGCAAACGAGGCCAATTATTTGACCTAGAATTCATCATGTTTTCTCCTAAATGGCCATTTGGAGTGTTGTGACACATGATCAGCTGCCAACAGAACCAGACGGACAAATTCTTCCACATCGAAGGCGTAATTTGTAAATTTTGGATGTTTTCCTAATGTCGGGTGATGCCCCTGAAGGAACAGGAGTTAAAATTATTTTAAGGAAGCACTGAGGTAAAACTAGCACATTGAGTAATTATTATAATTCATAATAGCTGATTTATTGATCCTCTCCAAAACTACCGTATCAGTTAGAAACCCCTCACAGCAACACTATTGACAGCCTAAACTAATGGCCAATTAATTTCATTATTCTTCCTCCCCCAGCTATTAATATAAAATGACTCCTTAATCAGAGCAGAGAATTTAATTTGAGCTGTAGAGCAGAATCATATTTCATGTAGAAGAACTGAGAAGGGTAATACAAAAACAATTAAGATCCAAGGAAATAAAGTCCTTTCCATCCATCCCATCCACCCTTCTAGTACCTCATCCTGAGGGAACACTTTATCCTTCTGCTGCCAGGTGATGTAATGGATACCTCTCAGTCTTGCAAGGTCTAAGTAGCAACGTTCATCTTTACAATTGTACCTACAGAGATGCAGAAATGGTGAAGGTTTATCAGAGACAATTTTACCAGAAAACTATCCAGCTGTGTTTTCCTTGTTCCAGCTCTGTCCCTATAGAAAGGAGAAGCAAATTATGGAAAGCCAAAGATCAAATACTTCATGATTATCTTTGCCAGGTGTAGTTGTATCACCTGAGAAGCTAGAAAATAGAGAATGGAAAACTGCAGCAGCCACACAGTTTTAAAACACAGTATCTTCACTGGCAGCAAAAATAATCCAATCAACAAACTCAGCCATGTTCTCATGAGAGAAGATAAAGAAAGAATCAGCCACAAAAAGCAAGCATATCATTTTTGTGGTTGATATCCACAGGACTTGCCTCAGAGTGAAAGATTAGATGTGATTTTTAAGGCCTGTTTAAAAATGATCCAGGCAACAACTAGTTTTTCTGACAGACCACCCAGAAAAGGAGACTGGATTTAGCCTGGAGGCTGCCTGCTGTCAACCTCAATCCAATAAAAGTCAGCAAACAGGGTTACCACATCGATTTGAAGAAGCATTTCTAGATTTTTACCAATTATGACCAAGGTAATTTTGACAGCTCCTGTGACACAGGAAGTCGTGCCATCCTTCACTGTCACGCATATATTAAAAAACAAAAATTTGGAGCTTTCTCTGCAGCAGGAAATCCATCTTCATGTAATGCATGCCCACATCCTTGTGCAAAGGTATTAAACATACAAGTATAACTGCCAAGAAAAGACTTACAGTTCAAAGATGACAGCCCAATCTGGCAAAAAAAGAAGATGAGTAAGGCCTGCTCCGTGCATTCCAATGAAGATATCAGAATTGTGGGTTATCTTCAGCTGCTCCTTAAATTCGAGCTCCCTATATAAACCAGCATAAGTAAGGATATATACATATATGCGCGCGCGCACACACACACACACACAAATATGACAAGTCTTCTAGGAACGTAATGCATAAGAAACACATTGAAATAAAAATGTCCTTAAGCTACATCGTGTATTTCTAAACCGCCTCACAACTGCACTTCCCTAGGTAGTTTGCAAATCTATTAAAATGTACAGTATAAATCAAAGAGACACAAAATGTCCAACCAACAGTGATTAAATAGTGATTAAAAGCACTGGCAATAATAGCAAATGAAAATACAGCTGACAAAAATCAAAGTAGAGCCAATGGCAAAACAGAAACAGGATTTCCTAAAGTGCCTGAAATAATAACATCTTTCAAAATGTTCATCCTGCACGTTATTTCTGGGGAAACAATTCCACTGATGAGTACTAGCAATGAAAAGGCTCCTTCTCTGGCAACGATCCCATCTGGGAGAAGGTACCTGGAGGAGGGCCCTATGATTAAGACTAAAGGGTTAGTCAAAGAATCCATTCACTGCAGCATCTGACTGCCTGGAAGCTCCTGACAAGGCTGCCATACAAATATACATTAAAAATTGTATATTTCACTGTCTAGCACTGTGCTTAGACAAATACATTGCTAAATTCAAATCCTTGGATTGGTCTTTACGTCATTACATTTTTCAGAAGTATATTCTAAGAAGTAACAGAGAAATGCTGTTGTACATCATGGTGGTTCATTCATTAGAATGTGTCCTACAGCTTCAACAATTCAAAGTAACTGGGCTGTACCCAATGGTGGTTTTGCACTATAGAAGAACATTTTGGCTTGTTCAAAGGAAGACATTGAATGTTTGTTCTCAGCCCACTGCAATTTCTCTTCAGAGGTTGTGGGGAACCTTCTGAAATACAGCACAGACTCCTATTAAGTAAGGAGGAACAATGATGGTCTCATGTTAGCCATTCAACACGTAACAACTTTGCTGTACGAGTTGCATTGGATGCCGGTGTGTTTCTGAGTCCAATTCAGGATGGTAGCTATGACCTTTAAAGCCCTACATGGCATGGCTATCTAAAAAAACCATCTTCACCCCATCACATCAGCCTGTACCACCTGGTTAGAAAGGGAAAATATGTTGCGAACCCTGTCAGTTAAATAATTTTGACTGGCAGAGTCTGGGAAGAGAGCCTTCTTTCCCACTGTCCCTGCTCTTTGGAACATTCTCCCCCTCCCCAATTAAGAAAGGCAAGACCCCATTCTCCTGGGCTGTCATAAATATCTAAAGGCTGTTCTGCCTTATTGCTTGGGACTCACGGACAAGCATGCAGCAATGGGGCTGGTTAGCTCCTGAAATTCCCCTCCCCCACCATTTAATTAACTCTTAATGTAAAAATTTTAACTCTCCTTGCCTATTTTAGATTTTATTTTAGTTTTTAACATTTTACTTGTACACCGTCCAGAGTTCCCCTGTCAGGGAGACGGGCAATTCCTAAGATAGACAGACAGACAGACATAACCCAAACCAGTAGATACTGACATGTCATATACTGATTCGGTATGAAAAACTGCAGGCCAGCTCTACTTCTCCTTTCAGATATACTTACTTGTACTTGTAATTCACTATTTGGACATCAAATAATGGCAGTGTTTTCAAAGCATTGGCAAGCTAAAGAGAGAGAGGAAAAAACAAAAATGTTCAAGGCAGTATTAAAGTGACAACCATAAAGCAAAGAAATTTAACAGAAGGAAAAAACAATCAAACCTCATTCTGGTTTAATATCTTTCTATACTCTGTACTCCGGGCAAGTATTGTAACTCTGATTTTCCCATCCTATTCAAAAACAAGAACAAACAAATTCAGCAAAAACAGTTCATTAATCAATTCATTGCATCAAAACAAAGAAAAGGACCGGCAGAGTGACAACAGAAAAAATTACTAGCCTTAACAGCAACAATTAGTAGGGTGATTAAACTGTCTTTTTCTTTTAATCACCTCATTTATATTTATATAACATGCAAGAAGGCTGCAAATACCTCAGGTGAAGTTTTAGTAGGAGTATTTGCCACAAACAGCTAAGCCATTTAAGGGACTTGCAGCTACCTCTGTGCCTGAAGAGGCATAGGCTTTTACGTTTATTGAATATAAAATGGACAACATCATTGAATACTATTACTGAATCCAAACAGGGCCACTTAATACACAGGTGAGTAATGGAGGAAAAAGTAAGATTAGCCTTCCAAATAAAAGTTATTTTCCTTCCCAATTTAAAAATCATTCAATCCTCAGGGGTAAATTGTAAAAAAAAAAGGACTACGAAGGTTTAATAGCATGAAATCTATTAAGACCAGCAGGAAATGTATAGCAAATGGCTGTGAAAAGCTGGAAAATGTTAGCCCCTTGTGATGAATATGCTGTTAATATTTTAAAGAACTGAAGTGATTTTTCTTTCACAACCTGTAAAAACTGACAAAAATAACAGCCAAATTAACTGAAAAATCAGCAAAATTACTGAATAGGAAACAAACAGTGATCAAGGATTTATCAGGTGGCTTTCAACTCTGCATTGAACCTGGCTGAAGCCATCTTGCTTTGTTTTTGGTTGCCACAAGAATGGGGGGAGGGATGTGGAGTTTTATGCTAGTCTAAACAATTCTTTGTCCTGTAGGAACCAAGGTCATTTCTGTTCGTTAGACGGGGGTTGAACCTTATGTTAGAAAGGCCGCCAAACTATTCCATTGGCGAACATAGTTGATTGCATAGTACTGGGGTGGGAAGTTTAACTTTGTATTAATGTAACTTTTTGGAGGGAACTTTAGTCTTAATTTCACTTTTGACCGTGCCGATACTTTGTAACCAATAAACATGTTCTTAGAGGAAAACTCAAGCCTTGGAGTTCTGTTTTAGTTGGTCTCGTCTATAGGAATCACGACAGTGGCTTTTAGAGAATAGACTTCCTAGTAGAACAAAAGGAAACTCTTGACTGGTGAAAATTATTCTGGGGCTATTGGATATATCAGAGCTGCTGGACTTCAATGTCCAAGGTCCTATCCTAATTATCATTATATATTGTTATTTGCTTGTTGCATTTTATGTTCTCTTTCCTCTGTACCTCCATTAAGCGTGCATATAGCCAGCATCTGCTTGAGCCCTGCAAGACTACCTGTAGAAGATGACCAGGCTGAGCCCAAGGGAAGGGTCAAGTGCATCATCAGTCTTGAGTCCCTTCATGCCCATAAGAGATCTAAATCCAGTCCACCTTTTAATTCCATTGACTCTTATCTACTGCCAATTCACTTCGACCATTAGACGTTCAGCTTCTTGTAGAGAGTGTTAGCACGCAATAAACTTGTATTCATTTGAACTGCTTTGGTTTCTGATTCCCTGCACTTGACAATACCCTTACAATCTTGTGGGTAACTTGAATTGAAGGAACAGGAGAGGCAACCAATTACATAGCTAGGAGGTGGGGGGAGGGGTTAACTTGTGATCTCTTCTGTCCTAATCCAATTTTCTGGCAATAGTCATCTTTTCAAATATAGAATTCTCTATAGTGTCTTCCCAAGTAAAAATAGGAATATTTAAACTACAGATACACTGATACAGGATATCAGAAGTTAGGACACAGTTTTTAAAACTTTTTTTCTCTCTCAGGATTCCTTCCTACTTTTAAAAAAATATGGAGGACCCCAAAAGAGTTTTTGTTTATGTGGGTTATATTTACTGTATTGAAAATTATAATGGACATATTCATAGAATAGTTATTTATTGAGTCATGTAAAAATAGCAATATTAAATCCATTAATACTAACATATTTTCCATTAAAAATCCTAGTATTTTTTAAATAAAAATAACAATTAGAAGAGTGATTGTTTTAAATTTTTGCAAATATGATCAAAATCTTGTAAATAAATTTTGATTTCATAGACCCTTAAAAGGACTCTCAGGGGTATGCTGACCCTGCTTTAAGAAACATTGTTAGGCTATGAGAAAGGTTTTGGAAGCAGAAATGGGGAAGAGCATACAATTTCAGTTTCATTTCAGTACAAGTCCTCAAGTTACAAGTGGTCGCTTAGCAGGTCCCCCCCAGGTCACATGACTGCACTTTGCACGCTTGGCAATTGGCCTGCATTTACAGCTGTTTGCAATATCCTGCAGTCACCTGGCTGCAATTGCCAGAAGCCAGCATTTACTTTTGGTTTCTGGCAAAAAAACGCCCACTGAGGACAATAGATTCACTTAATGAGTGCAGTATTTGCTTAATAATGACAATGTTCACATTACAACCATCATGTTCATTTAAGGACCATTACAAAAAAGATTAACAACAAGCATGACTTATGACTGTAATCCTGGCCCAAATTATGGTTGTATGTCAAGGATTACTGTTGTAACCAAACTATTACCTTAGGCCCATCTTGGGTGATATTTAATCTGTGCAACACATGTTGGGAAAAGGCTCTGAATAATCCTGTCCCATGACAGCCGGAGATCTGCAGTTAGACCAGACACAGGAATAAAGTGTAAACATGTTTATGCTTTAAATGAGAGAGAGAGAGAAATAAAAATCTCCATGTTTATTCAGACCCAAATATTCCGCTTGTTTTTTTTTTAAAAAGAGTGTGGTAATCTCACCAGATTTACTCACCAAAGGTGTATTATAAAACAAGCCAAACCTCATTCGAGGCAATAGTGTAAAAACTGCTTCTTTGAAGCAGACCTGGAAAAGAAGATTAACCATTTACAAGGATTTTCCTTAATATATAAGGAGAGGGGCAAATAAAGAGTACAGAGAAGAGCAACAAAGATGATTAGGGGGCTGGAGACTAAAGCATATGAAGAACAGTTGAAGGAATTGGGTATGTTTAATTTAATGAAAAGAAGGACTAGGGGTGACATGATAGCAGTGTTTCAACATTTGAGAGGCTGCCCCAAAGAAGGTGGGTCAACCTACTCTCAAAAGCATTTGAAGGCAGAACAAGAAGCAATGGATGGAAATTAATCAAGGAGAGAAGCAACCTAGAACTAAGGAGAAATTTCCTATCAGATTTAGTGAAACGACGTGCCTCCAGAAGTTGTGGGTGCTCCAACACTGAAGTTTTTTAAAAAGAGACTAGACAACCATTTGTCTGAAATGGTGTAGGGTTTCCTGCATGAGCAGGGGATTGGATTAGAAGACCTCCAAGGTCTCTTCCAACTCTGTTATTCTGTTACAAAGTAGGATCTATTAACACTGCAATGGAAAGTATTTCAGAATATTTTTGTAACGTTGTACATTGCCCAGAGTCACTTGTTTTGGGAGATGGGTGATTTCTCTTGTGGTGTGTGATAATTATAAACTCTCATAACATAAAATACTTTCAAGAAGTATTGTATAATGTTAGTTTAATGGTGGAAGTTGTGGCACAATTTTGAAAGGTAACTGGCATCATGTTGCCATTCCAGACTGCATTTCCATTTACTAATTTTTGCTACCATAGACAAAAAAGTTTGCATTACTTATTATTAGATTTCTAGGCTGCCCATCTTACCAAGCTGACTCTAGGCAATTCTAGGTGGCTTTTGATATTGGCTTTTGCTATTTCCTGCAAATGTGGTTTATGTTTTCGTGCCCAGAGTGGCCTCTCATAGAATTTTTTAAAAAATATTTTAGAATGTCACAAAATGATTGTGGTCATTCAACAATCTTTTCAAGTTTCATAAATTATGTTTTGCGAAATTGGGAGGGACTATTATAGTTTCCTTTCCTTTCCTTTCTCCTTCCCTTCCTGTCTTTTGGGATTCATTCCTAGCTTACATTAAACTATAATGTAACTCCTTGGTTCATTTAAATTCAAGTAAGATGACTTCCTGGTTTATGCAACTGAGCGAGCTGCAAACAGGCAATTCTTATCTTTAACTATTACAACTCCAGCAATCAAAGGATCAGATGAAACTAATATCTACCAAACATTAGACATAATCTCCACAAAACAAATTATTCATTATGTTGAAAATAAAACAGTAAAGTTTTAAAATGATACAATATTCCATACTCTTTTTGAATCATACGATTTCAAATGTATTATTTCATAGTCGGTAAATGCCTTCCATGTTTCACTGAACAAATCTCCATATCCATATGTACTCTGAAAAAAACAAACAAATGCCAATAAGTTTTCCCTTAATATAGTCCAAATTTGTATGGGTCAATTTCATACAATAAGATTCGAAAGAATTTTTAAAAGAATTCAGCATAAAAGAGATAAATATTAATACAGAGATATGGTAAAAAGAAATATAAATATTTTTCCACATATGTTTGCAATTATATTTTAATAAATATGAAGGGGTTGGTTTTTTTTTTACAAACTGAAAATATATTGGAGGCCTGCTCATCAACACAACCAAAGCCAAGTAAACATCAGAGTTCAATACAACTGGAAGATACTAACTGACCCAGCAACTATATTATCATCATATACTTCAGTGTTACCAAAGGTCCTTTATAAATAACGACAATTTGTCATTTATATTTGTTCAAAAACATGCTAAATGCATGATTTTTAAACTGCATTTCTGTTTCATTTCACTTATCTAGAACTTTCAACAGGTTTTAGTAAAAAGCTAAAACTTTTCAAACATTTGAGTAGAAAGTTGTACATGTTAAAATTTACTTAATAAAAAAGTTCAGCTTTACTTAATGAAAAAAATTAATAAGGGTTAAACTAATGCATCCTACATAAAGAGAATGCATAAACATCTTCAGCTTTATACAGTTAAGTTAAAACAGTACACTGGCACCATCATCTGGCAATAGTAGGAATTAAAAATACCATAACAAATTTTGAAAATAGCATAGTTTAGGACAAATTCCCATTACAGTACTATCTAGATGTTATCAAAAATGCACACACAGTGCTTTTTTCCCCAAATAGGAGATAGTCAAATGAGAAATCTAGCAAAAGAACCAGATGTTAAGACAGGCAGGTAGTCCTCAATTTACAACTAGTCACTTAGTGACCATTCTAAATTATGGATTCCCCAAAAGCTACTTACAACCCATTTTCAAAGTTATGACAGCCACACACATAACCCCACGGTCATGTGATCGCATTTTGGATGCTTGGCAGCCAGCTCACCTTTATGACTGTTTGCAGCATTCTGCAATTGCATGAGTGCAATTTGCAATGTTTTTTGCTGCTTTCTCAAATTTATTTCTGGTTTCTGACAAAAAAAAATTGATTCATTTAATCATAACATTTCCTTAACAACCATGGCATTTGTTTAACAACCACCACAAAAAATGTCAAAAAATCAGATCCAGTCAAATGATGCCTCAACTTATAATCACAAGCACAACCATAGTTTTGGGCTGGATGTGGAGTGATTTGTTGACATATAGACTCATAGACTCCCCCAAAAAGATAAGCATTAAGAATACAAATTAAAATGCTCAGTAAAAAAGCCAAATCTTATTTCTTGTGCAGAGCCTTATCCGAAATATACCTCATTTAAACATACTCACTGTTTGCAGTAGTTTACACCAGTCTATAGCTGACTAATTAACATTCCTCTCAAGATAGCATAACTACAATTCATCCTAAACCTGGAACTGTTTACCTCAGACAAAAATAATATCTCAAATAATGTTATGCCCTACCCTAACTCTAACTATCCTTATGCTCTTACTTACAGTATCCCACATAACAATGTTGATATCAGTGCCGAAAGTGTTGGTAACATGCTGAGTGATATAAAGATTCACAAAGTCACAAAAATGATGGTACATATTGACACCTAAAAGAAGAAAGACAAATTAAGCTTGTTGTAATAAAGATAACTAGAACTACATAGATAGTCATTTATAACAAAGGCTTAGGACTTTATGCAAAAACATATGTTCCCATAGGTGCATCCATGCCACAGTGCTAAAATAGAGGTACAAAATTATGGATTACTTAATTAATTCATGAATCTGTCATTAAAAACACATTTAAGAAGCTGAACAAGGATGAGCTTTGAGACCAGATTGCCCCAAGCTATTTATTATTGGCAACATATGGGTTTTAAATGAAATCCAGTCATAAGAAGCTACTAATTTGATCAGAGCAGTAATCTTGGAGGATTTTATATTCTTGATAAAAAGGAACACCACCATCTTCAAAATGGGGAGTGTACAGAGAAGGGGAATTTGTGTGAACACACAGCCAACAGTTTGTATTTTAAGAAAACCTTGATGAGTTTAGTAAAAAAAAAAAATCAAGTTATGATAGTTTGCGCAGCTTATTTCAATGAACTCCAAGATATACAGATAATCCACAACTTATAGCCTTCATTTAGTGACTGTCTGAAGTTACTATGATACTGAAAAAGGTGACTTAAAGACCATTTTTCACACTTACGTGAAATTATTTCCTAATTCACACGAACAAATTGTTTTGGGCCATGTGACCAAAATTCAAGCATCTGGTAATTGGTATGTATTTAGGACAGTTGCACTGTTCCGGGCCATGTGATCAATGGGGGAAGCCAGATTCGCTTAACAACTGAACTAAATACACTTAACAACTAGAGTGATTTGCTTAACGGTGGCAAAAAAGTTCGTAAAATGGGGCAAAACTCACTTAACAATGGAAATGTAATATGCTTTGCTAGTTTGGGCTCAGTATGATATCCAAGCCTGTATATTACTAATTCACATTATGTGTGAATCAGGTCATAAAGGCATGTTCATATCAATCTGAGCATAACTACAATAAGAGTTGACAATTATATAGAAACAGTATTTTAAACAATTGCATAGATTTGTGCACAAATAGCCTTTAGATCAGTGTTTCTCAACCTTAGCAACTCTTAAGATATGTGGACTTCAACTTCCAGAACTCCACAGCCAGCATCTGGGAAACTCTGGGAGTTGACATCCACACACCAAGGTTAAAAAACCCTAACTTTAGAGATTAATCAGAGTATAGGTAGTCCTAGATTTACAACCACAATTGAGCCTGGAATATTGGTCATAAGTCATTGGGGTCATAAGTTGAGTCGCCACATGATCAGACTCAATTTTACAACTGTTTTCATGATGGTCCTTAAGTAAGTCACTGTGGTTGTTAAGCAAATCACATGGTCGCAAGTCTGAATGCAGCTTATCCAAAGGGCATTTCTTGCCGATAAACAGCAAAGAACATCACAAAACATGAACATATGACCACGGGATGCTGCAATTGGTCATAAACGCAAGCAAGTTGCCAAGCACATGAAATACAATGATGTGATGGCAGGATGGTATAGTAGTCGTAACTTCGAGGACAAGTCAAAAGTTACTTTTTTCAAGTCCATTGTAACTTTGAATGGTCGTTATGCAACCAGTCATAAGTCAAGGACTACCTGTAGCTTATAATTAGTACCTCCTAATGTTTACAGAAATAAAGCCCCTCTTATTAGTATAGAGAAGTGAGGTTACACTTTGGAATTTGGAAACACCGAAATACCTTGTACCTGCATCAAGCTTCATGAAATAAGTTGGTTTCTCAACAATGACCTCACAGCTGCCATCTTCCAGTGGTCTGGAGCTCATCTCTGTGTACGTCTGGAGCTCCGCAAACCTGTAATTACCACCATTTAAATTAGGCTTCAAAAATGTATTCCAGACTGATTTTTTAAGCAATACACCACATACACTTCTCCTACTGCTGATGAAGTCTTACCAAATTTGACATTAAAATTATTTTTAATTGTAATGGAAGCCTCTTCAATAAGGCTTCAAAAGGTTAAGCTCTGCTTTGAACTCAGACACATGCAATGTTTTTTGATCTATAAATTAAAGGCTGGGAAAAGTAGAGGCAGTATTCCCTCTATCCAGATTTCATAGGTCCAGCTAATTGGAAGATTCATGTCAAATGTGTTTACCATGAATTTCAAGATATATCAGCAAAGACATAGTTATTAATGACTGCAGGTACATAACAGATAGAATTTGAGACCAATTAGCGAGATTCACAGAAGAGTCTAGGGTGAGCAAGTTGCCATGAGGAATTATCAGCTTTCAAAAAACGCTGTACGGGTGACTTACCACAGGATAGCTCCAAGTCCTCTTCATTAAACAGGATCATCTTGCAGGACTAAGGAAACTTGCTACTTTGTACAATGCCTGCCCTATGAAATAGGCTCCCTTCCTCTTAGCTTTTCGGAAGGTTATTAAGACCTGGTTAATTTCCCTTGGCATTAAGTAACAGAATAAGAGAATAACAGAGTTGGAAAGGATCTTGGAGGTCTTCTAGTCCAACCCCTTGCTCACACAAAACACCTGATACCATTTCAGATAAATGATTGTCTATTCTCTTCTTAAAAACCTCCAGTGAGGTTTACATCACCACGATGTAAAAAAGATGCTGAGACTCTAGAAAGAGTACAGAGAAGAGCAACAAAGATGATTAGGGGACTGGAGGCTAAAACATATAAGGAACGGTTGCTGGAATTGGGTATGTCTAGTTTAACGAAGAGAAGGACGAGGGGGGACATGATAGCAGTGTTCCAGTATCTCAGGGGCTGCCACAAAGAAGAGGGAGTCAAGCTATTTTCCAAAGCGCCTGAAGGCAGGACAAGAAGCAACGGGTGGAAACTAACCAAAGAGAGAAGCAACCTAGAACTAAGGAGAAACTTCCTGACAGTTAGAACAATTAACCAGTGGAACAACCTGCCTCCAGAAGCGGTGAATGCTCCAACACTGGAAGTTTTTAAGAAGAGACTGGACAGCCGTTTGTCTGAAATGGTGTAGGGTTCCTGCCTGGGCAGGGGGTTGGACTCAATGACCTCCAAGGGCCCTTCCAACTTTATTATTATTATTATTATTATTATTATTATTATTATTATTATTATTATTATTATTATTATTATTATTATTAATGATGATGATGATGATGATGATGATGATGATGATGATGATGATGATGATGATGATGATGGAGCTCCGTAACTTTGGAAGGCAAGCTGTTCTACTGATTAATTGTTCTGTCAGGAAATTTCTCTTTAGTTCAAGGTTGGTTCTCTCCTTGATTAGTTTCTTGATTAGTCTGGATGTTAGAGGAGCTTATAATACATAAGTTATAACATCTTTCCTAATATCTATGGCCAGTCTGCTTAGGTACTCACATTTATTTCTACTTAAGCCTTCTATGTTTAGTTGCAAAATATGGATCTGGGGTCCAATATATTGCTGATGCTTTAAACTAAATTTGTACATCGGCGAATGCATGATTTCTGTAGATGCCATATGCATCTACTACAAATAAATAAACATTGTAAGTCTACTACATAGTAGCTCACTTTCCTTTTGTATTGGATTATTTCTATTATATTTTTGTTTGGTTACGGGCTTTTTAAGTGTATTTTAATAAACTGCCTAGATTTATGTATTTAAGATGGGCAGCCATATATATTTTCAAAATAAATAAATAAACAACATTGCTCCCATATTGTCTCAGTGGATGTCCTTTGAAAATAAAAATTGTAGGTAATTGCAGTTTTGTGCTGTGTTTATAAGCTTATTTACCTATCCCTCCCCAAAAAAAGAGTGTGCTAAAGGCTAGGATAAGTGATGGGGAGCATCCTCATCAGTTTTGTCTTTTGACAAGAGAATTTTTCTAGCAAGTCAAATTCGTAATGGCAGCTATTTGATAAATAAGCAGATTCCCCACTCTCCTGAGACACATTTTCTAAGCATAACTTGAGCATGCTCTCAATATTCCAAAAGTAAACACCAGCTGAAAAACATGCAAAAAACTATCTTACAACATGGTGGCACAGTGGTTAGAATACAGTATTGTAGGCTGATTCTGCCTACAGCCAGGAGTTCAATCCTGACTGGCTCAAGGTTGACTCAACCTTCCATCTTCTGAACTCGGTAAAATGAGGACCCAGATTGTTGGCAGAAATATGCCGACTCTGTAAACCACTTTGAGAGTGCTGTAAGGCACTATGAAGCAGTATGTAAGTCTAAATCAGTGGTTCTCAACCTTTTTAATGCCGCGACCCCCAACCAGTCGTAAGTCAAGGACTAAACCGGTCGTAAGTCGAGGACTAAACCGGTCGTAAGTCGAGGACTACCCAACCGGTCGTAAGTCGAGGACTTTCCCTGCCCGGGAGCACCGCGCATGCGTGGTTCCGCCCCCTGCGCCGGCCGAGGCGTAGCTGGCAAGCGGCAGAGACGGAGCAGGTCGACCACCAGCTGGCCCAGCCCAAGGGAGGTAAGGCACCCGCCGGAAAAGGGGAAAAAAATGGCGGACAGCCTTGCTTGGCGACCCCCGTGAAATGGTCAATCGACCCCAAATGGGGTCCCGACCCATAGGTTGAGAACCGCTGGTCTAAATGCTATTGCTATTGCTCAGTCATAATTACTGGGACAGAAAAAGAGCATCCAAGGTGTCTATTCTGCCAAGATGACTTGTGAAGAAACAAAAGAACATACTTACAAGACTTACCAAGATTGTAAAGGGCTCTTTTGCTGCCCTTCAGCAAGGAAAGCTTTAGTATTCATATTGCAGTGGCCACCTATTTGACCCTTCTTGAAGAAATCTTCATTAAATCTAACCAGTGAAGGAAAGAAGGTTAAAACAAGATTAAATAAATTAAAAGCTCATTTTTGAAATTTAGGATTTAGAAAATGCTTTCTCTTAGCATGAGCCATGAAATCAATATACAAAAATATTTTTCTTTTTTGTAACAAACAAGAATTCTAATGAGTTGTTAGCTTGTTCTGGTACTATCGTATATTTAAATGTACAATTCCTTTCTCTCCAAATGTATCGCTGAAGATATGGCCTTCACGGGCTTTGGTTTATTATGATGCCTCAAAAAGAAGTATACAAATGTCATATTCTTAAGTTTCACAGGTTCAAAGAAACATCCAATAGATGATAAAGAGGAATTACTTTGCTGCAAACACAAAGCTTAATAGTGGTGTGACAATTCCACCTTGGTTGCCGGGATTGTAAACCTCCAGCTTAAGATTTATTCCTGTATTTCCAACTTATGTACTGTACTTGAAAGTCTCTCTCTTAAAGCTAACAATAGTTCTGTGTGCTGCAGCAGGGGTCTTCCCAAATTAGAAAGTTAGAAAGGTTTTTTTTTTGAAGAAGGGAGAGTGTTATAGGAACCACTACGTGCAACAACAAAAAAGTATTTACTTATTTTGCCCTTTCAAAATTTGCAATGCTCACAGTGCATTTAGAATGGTGAATTCTATGTTGCTTATCAGAAACCGAGGTGTTGTATAATACGGTTACAATTTAATAGAAGAACATGAGCTTTATTTCTTTAGCATATTTGTATCTCACAAAAAGGGATTCTGGGCAGCTTACGCAGTTTGACATGAAGAAGTTGAATTGCTGAAAACTTCAAGATTCTTTGGATCTGAACTTCTTGAAAATTTTACCAGTCGGGGTTGACATTAGTGAGGCAGATAGCCCACAAATCTAATCTGATCCAATGCAATTGCTTATAAGAAGCAATAGTTGAGGGTGGCAAACAAGATACTGCACTGATAAAGGTGGCTAAGCACAATCTGTTCCCTTGTGGAAATGCAGTAGATTATTTCTGATCCTTTAAGCTTCTTACAGTAATTCATTCTTCAAGCTTTTCTCTACAGCTATGAAAATCAGTAACACCCTCTGTTAAACGCTGTAGATTTCTGTACCCCAATATTGATGTATTAATAAGTGGAAATAAAGGAAGAAAAGTAGTAGGACTCTGTGCATGCTCAAGTGCCTTAAACTTAGAACGCAATTCCTTAAACAGAATTATTGAATAATGATGAAACGTGAAGATGACACAAACCTATCATGGTCTCTCTCTGGATGCCTTAAATCAATATATAAATGTGTTGCTTTGCAATACTGAAGGTAACGAGAACATTCAAGTGAAGAATCTCCCTGAAAGAAAATGACATCTGTAAGTTACTATGATGCGGTTGGCTGACAAGTGAAAATAAATTATTTTAACTAAATAAAAAAATCTGCAGCACTATGGATTTTAATATAAAAAGGTCACTCGCTGGGGCTGAGGTGATGGTGATTGCCAACGTTGCCTGTTCCCGTGTTCAACAAGACATTTTTGTCTTTGAATCCAAATTTTTGCACAGTTCCCATCTTGTACACAAACCACAACCTTTGTAGTTCAACATGCTGGCTGTAATCTAAAAAAAAACACTTCAGGATTTAAGACCTGGATGAAGGAAGTCCTCAACTTACAACCATAATTGTGACCAGAATTTCCATCATAAGTCGTTGCGGTTGTTAAATCGGACCCGATTCTGTGACACTTTTAATGACGGTCATTAAGCAAATCACTGCACTTGTGAATCCAGCTTCCCCGATGGACATACTGTGACAAAGTTTGCAAAAAGGGTCGCAAATAATAATCATGTGACAGCAGGATACTGCAACCAGTGATAAATGTAAGCCAGTTGCCAAGGGTCTAAATTGTGATCACAGAACCGTGGAGGTAATATGACAGTTTAAGTGACAGTATTGGTCATAAGTCACTTTTTCCGAGACTGCCATAATCCTGAACCTTCTTTACACAAGTGGTTGTAAATGGAGAACTACCTAACTGGACGACTATTCGCTCTTGAGGACATCTACCCACCCAGTGAAATCTAGATCTGTGTTTCTTCAACCTGGGCAGCTTGAAGATGTGTGGACTTTAGAGTGCTGGGTGGGGAATTCTGGGAGCTGAAGTCCACAGGTTGCCAAGGTTGAGAAAGGTTGCCAAGGTTGAGAAACGCTGCTTTAGATGAAAGGATTTCATAGTCCCTTGATTAGAGATTGTCCCTATTTGGGCTGTGAACACATGACTTCTCAGTTGCTGAGAACTGAGATAAGCATCCCCCTAAATATTTGAAACAACACCCCCACCCACCCCCAGTTTCTAGAAAGTTGGTGAAGATTTGGTTATTCTACCAAGACTCTATCCCACTAGAGCAGACATGTCAAACTCGCGACGTCACATAATGTCGTGCAACGTATCGGGACAGTTTTGCCATTGCCGGCAATGGGGGGGTGGGGCTTCCATGTGACGCGTCTGGCCCATGGGCCGGCAGTTTGACACCCCTGCACTAGAGGATGAATTAGTTTTATTATATTTTGAATATTAACTCCCAGATTTCATGTAGCGTTTTTTTTAATGAACGGTTTTAGTTTTAAAATCTGATTAGCTCATTTTAATCCCAAATTAGAAATCCGGGGGAATGTTATACCACTCAGTTAATTAGAGTGGCGTATATTGTATGTAAATAAAAAAAAAATAAGCAGACTAATATGCCTACCACATTCTTAGGCTTGCAATGAGTCTTCATATCTTTCATCCTTTCTTTAACATAACCGAAATCCGCTTGCTTCCAGAAAATATCCTGGGCCTGCTCAATGGTATTAGCCCTGGCATACAAAACAAAACAAAGGAATCTCTTTGAGAAAAATGAACTATAGCAGAACCTCAGGCTACAGACTGCTAGGTTCTAGCGCGTAATCTTATAAACAATGCCCTAAATTAGTGAAACAACGAAAAGGATATTGTTTTCAACTCTTCTCCCTCTGTGCAGAAAAATAATACTTATGGATACCTTGATTAAAACAAAAAATAAACAAACCCTTTAAAAAAGGATAACCTTGGTATTACAAAAGTTTGCTCAGCTGCCAAATCAAGACAATGATGGCCAGTTATTTGACTGATGGATGTGCCACCAAGTTGTTTTTGACTCCTAGCAACCACATAGATCAGGGGTGCCAAACTTGCAACGTCATGTGACGTGTCGCGACATATCACGACTTTTTTGCCATCGCCAGCAATGGGGTGGCCGAGGTTTTGCCATGACACATCTGTCCCATGGGCCGGCAGTTTGACACCCCTGACATAGACAGATCTTCTCCATGACGATCTATCCCTAATTTGGCCTTTCTAGTCTTTCAACGTGACTTATAACCAGTGTAACTGAGTCCATTCACCCTGCTGCTGGTCATCCTCTTCTCTTTCCTTCCATCTTTTCCAGTATTAGAGCCTTTTCTGGCCAACCTTTTACTAGAGGTTAAATGATATGGATTTCAGATTGCTAAATTATTCTATTCTACAGGTTAGACCCCTAATATCCAAAAGTTGCTTTATCTCTCTAATATATATTTGTGGAACAAGTCAGAAGGTTTAAAAGCTAGCACCAAGATTAGAGACTATCTTTCTCAGATTTTGGTATGCATATGGACATCACTGAATATTTAAAAACAGAACAAACATGAGAATGCTTAATATTGGAGTTGACCTAAGGGGAGCAGTAAGTGGGCAATTTAAATAGAATGATTTTTTTTGAAAAGTATGGAGAATGTTTGGTTACGAATCATGGGAATGTATCTAACATTATGTAAGAGCAAAAAATATTCGCCTTTGCTGTTTTCGGTCCCATTCTGGAACAGATCCAAGGGAAATACAAGGGATTGAAAAATAAGAGAAAGATGGGAATTTCTTCCATCTCTCATCTAGACTGGACTACTATATAACTCTCATAAAGCTAGCAATATATTGGGCTATCTTAAGGAATATTTTTTTTAAAAAAAAATGATCCAAGAACAAACAGTTCCATTTCCATCAGAAAAATCTCTTTTTGTTCTGACCTGTGATGAATGTTCTCGGTTCCATGATGTCTCAGGGAGGGGGAGGGGAATTCAGTTTTTCCTTGAAGCAAATAATCTATGTTTTGAACATAGTTCCAGACACAAGATTTTCTCCTTCAGGATTGGAAGACCCTGGACTGCCTTAAACTTTTTCAGATGTGAAGGATTTACTTCTAGAAACTACTGAATACATAATCTGTAGAGCTGTGGTCCCAGATTGGTGAACTGTGTGTATACGTATGCCTAGTTCCATGCCTATAAGATGGCCTGACTTTCAGTCTTCACTATGTACAACGCTGCAAGGCACTTATAAAGCCCTTAATCTTCCACATGGGGACAATAAATTGCCTTCCTCGGCAACTTAATTTTCTCAACATTTCAAGAAAAATAAGATCCTTCTCTCACTTAATAAGTGGAAGAGCACTGTATTTGCTTTCATGCATGTTCAATGGGCATATTAGTGCCCTGATCACAATCTGAATTCTTCCACTGATTTGCATGGACTGGTCCCACTTCCTGGGTTTGTTTGGAGTGGCCTCACTTCCCTTCATGGAAACTTTAAAAAAAACAATTTGTTCGTGTGAATTAGGAAATGATCTACTCAGAAAATGAAGCTTCCTCTGTCTTTTTATATCCGAGAGTTTTTCTCATTTCCGCTAAAGGATGAAAGTGAAGAACAGAAATGATGCAATAAATAAACAAAGGAAGAGACTGAGATAAAATGGCCCAGTTCTGCTCTCCTTAACATTGTTCTATCTGTCCTTTTTAGCTTTTAGGTTGTTTTTTTTAGTCTACCTATACATTATTAAAATCATTTTAATGCTTTCTCGTGTTTTATGGCCTCACTCATTTCTTCATTACCCACTTCCTGCCAGGAAACTAATAGTTTTCCTTCCCAGGTACAGGTAGTCCTCAACTTACAACAATTCATTTAGTGACCATTCAAAGTTACAATGGCACTGAAAAAAGTGACTTATGACCATATTTCCACACTTACGACTGTCGCAGCATCCCATGATTATATGATCAAAATGTGGACGCTTGGCAACAGGCATGTATTTATGCTGGTTGCAGAATCCCAGGGTCATGTGATTCCCTTTCTGAGAAGCAAAGCCAATGGGGAATCCAGATACACTTAAGAACTGTGTTACTTAACAACTGCAGTGATTTGCTTAACAACTGTGGCAAGGTCATAAAAGGGAGCAAATAATTGTCTTGCTTAGCAACTGAAATTTTGGGCTCAATTGTGGCCGTAAGTCTAGGACCACCCGTAATTCAGGTTTTTGGCCTGAATATGTTGAACACACTGGGTATGTGCGTGAGGAAAGTAGTGTTTTCCTGCAGTCTTTCTCCAACTACTTGTGCTTTTAAAAACTCTGCCGTTCCATCAACATTCTGCTATCTTCACTTTTCTGTATAAAAGCTTTGCAAATAGACAGGAACAGTCATTCAACAATCCCTTTCAAATGCAATAAAGGAGAATATTTGTAGCTCAGGGTTGACATAAGGGGTCCTTGGTGCTCTCTGAGCTTGCTTGTTTTCTTGAAGACGTTTCATTACCCAAACTAGGTAACATCATCAGTGCTAGTAAGAGTGCAGTTTGCTGTCAGTTTATATTCTAGTGGCTGACCCTGTCAGTGATAGTGTGGGTGATCTTAGAGATTCTTTGGTTGGGCTGTTTGCTGTTAGCTTCTTTGCCAGTTTCTTGACTGAAATATTGTTTACTTGATTGTTGGTCTGATGTCAACCTTGGAGTTAATCTATACTGATCTGGGTGCTGATTGCTGGTAGGTCTTTTTGTTCCTTTTTGGGCTGGGTGATAGTCCCTTTTGCTTGGTCTATAGATGTTGTTAATGTCTATGTGTCTATTGATGGCTGATTTGTCAGAGTGCCAGGCCTTAGAAATTCCCTGGCGTTTTTGAACTTGACTTGGTTTAGGATGGTCACAATTTCCCAGCTGAAACTATGGCTAAGTCTGTCTATATGTTGTGAAATTAAAACATTTAAAGAACTTTCATCATGTCTTCTGACTACTAGCTGGTGTTTGTAGATGCATTCCTCAGGGAATATCACCCAGCCCCAAAAGGAACAAAAGGAAACAAAAGGAACAAAAAGACCAAGCACTTCGCCATCAACAATCAGTACCCAGATCAGCATAAATGAACTCCAAGGTTAACATCAGACCAACAATTAAGTAAACAATATCTCAGTGAAGAAACTGCCAAAGAAGCTAACAGCAAGCAGCCCAACCAAAGAATCTCTAAGGCAGGGGTGTCCAAACTTTTTTCAAAGAGGGCCAGATTGGATGAAATGAACGTGCTGGAGGGCCGAACATTTTTCCGAACATTCTTTGAACCATTACAATTAAATGCAAATGAATTATTTTATGCCAAGTTAATTGCAAATGGCATACTTTCTCTTTTCTCCTTCTTTCTCTTTCTTTCCTCTTTTTCCTCTCCCTCTCTTTCTCTCTTTCCTCTCTCTCTCTTTCTCTTTATTCTCTCTCTCTCTCTCTCTCTCCCTCTCTCTCTCTCTCTCTCAACAACAAGGATGCCCACAATAATTGGGCCACGAAGCGCAACTTCCCCCAGGAGGCAGAAAGAATTCGGGCAAGCTGCGTTTTGGAGATCAGGCCGGGGCTTAGTCGAGCCCTCGCGGGGCGCAATTAGGGGCGGCTCCGTGGAGTCCCGGACGCCTGGCTCACGGAGAAAGCCGGCAGGGAGCCCACAATTAGTGGGCCTGCCAGAAGCGGCTGAGGTGGACACCCCTGCGGCACTCAGGCGGCCCCCGAGCTTCCCGCCAAGCCGGATGGGATTCCTGGCCAGCCGGTCACAGGGCGGGAGCGGCTCCCTCGCTGGGGCTGCTTGGCCTCCCCGGCCGGCTGGCCATTCCGGCCTTTCCAGGGCCAAATCCTGCAGGCTGCGATTTGCACAGCCCCGGTCCAGAGGAGCGCCGTCGCCCCGGTGGATGGGGGGCTGGGAGGGGTAAGCCCCTTTCGATGCCCAGAAAGCAGTGCTTCCTCTCCTGCTCCGGGCGTGGGAAAATGGGCGGAGGTCCTGGGATGGCCAAGCGTGTGGGGGGGGGCAGGAGGCAGCAGAAGGCGCCCAGGGCACCACGGACTGGCTTGGGGAGACGCGTGGCCGGCTCGGCTGCCCAGGCAGGGAGCGGCCTGGGGATGGCCCAGGGAGCGATGCCCCTGCCGGCCGCCGCCCCAGCAAGGACTGTCACGCGGCCTAGCCCGGGGAGACATGTGGCTGGCTCAGCTGCGCAGGGAGCGGCCTGGGGAAAGGCCAGGAAGCAATGCCCCAGCCAGGACTGCTGCCTGGTACAGGTAAGCTGGGGGGGGTGCCACCTGCCCCGCGGCTGCTTCGCGGCGGTGCTCTGCGGACTCAGAGCTCCCTCCCTCCCCCCCTGCCACTGACCTTCCATCTCCGGCTCTGCTGCTGCTTGGCCAACGGTTGCGCCAGCTGGACATCGCAGGGGCTGCTCTCTGTCGGGGCTGCGGCTTACGGGAGGGCTGGCCCACTCAGCAAAGGCTCCGGGGGGGTTGCTCCCAGCGGGGATCCTGGGGCTTCCCCGCATGGCTCCCCAGCCACGTGCGCCTGGGACGGGGCCAGCCCGGGAAAGGGACTTCCTGGCCACCCTTCTCCCAGGGGGCGGGGCACCCGGGCGCAGGGCCAATGAGGAGCCCTGCGAGGGGGCAAGTCCCATGAGAGAGAGAGAGAGAGAGAGAGAGAGACAGAAGTGCAAGTGCCTCTGTCTCTATCTCTCTCTCTCTCTCTCTCTCTCATGGGACTTGCCGGAGGGCCGTGGGAGGGCCACATTTACATAGAGCAGGGAGGGCTGTTAGAGGGCCATATTAAACCGGAACGCAGGCCGCAAATGGCCCGCGGGCCGGACTTTGGACATGTCTGCTCTAAGATCACCCACACTATCACTGACAGGCAAGCCACTAGAATATAAACTGACAGCAAACTGCACTCCTTACTAGCACAGATGATGTTACCTAGTCTGGGTAATAAAACATCTGCAAAAAAACAAGGAAACTCAGGGAGCACCAAGGACCCGCCTTTCAAACCCAACTAATTTAAGATTCCATGTTCCTAACTTAGACAGACAGAAAGGTAGGTAGGTAGGTAGGTAGGTAGGTAGATAGGCAGGCAGGCAGGCAGGCAGGCAGGTAGGCAGACAGGCAGACAGATAGATAGATATATTCTTTATTGTCATTTTTTACTGTGGGCACAATGGCACACATTAAAAATGAAATTTAGTTGCTTGCTCTCAAAGTGTACACATACATAACACACATTTAAACATACCATATACAACATACGTATAGACCTACACCCTTACATATAAGTAACATATAAATATTAATCATTGTCCATCTTAAATACATAACAGAAGGAGGAAGCTTTAGAGTTCACAAGGTTGATACTGTATGGAACAAAACTGTGACTGAATCTGGATGTTCTGCTTTGGAAACCACGGAGTCTCCTCCCAGAAGGTAACAGGGAAAACAGGTCGTGAAGAGGATATGTAGTGTCCCAGACAATCTTATGCAGTATTCTTAAAGATAGAGATATCCACACTACAAATCTTAGCCAAAGTGTATTTCTCTAATTCAAATCTGTTTTTTTTCCCAAAAATCAAGAATCTCACATTTCTTTTAAAAAAAAGACAAGGTTCTAAAGCATCCATATTAACATAGGGTATCCTGGCAGACATTGTCTGAATGCACAAGCACCCAATAGTAGCCATTTTGCAAAAACACTCATGATATGTGTTCAGGTGTTCAGTAAGTACATAATAACTAAGCACTGAATTTCACATGAAATTAAATTTCATACATTTTCATTCATACTTACCATCCAATTTCAGCATAATCACATGTTGGATATTCAAACCTGTTTTCTGGTTTGCATGATTTCTCATAACCCCAACAAGCTTTCAATTTCTTCAAATGTTTCTGTCAATAGAGAATTACCATTAAAATGATACAATAAAAGTTAACTTACGCAACCATGCAATTAAGATGGTCAATTTCTGCTTTTGGAAAATGTGATTGAACATTTTAAAAAATCCTGTTGAAATCCTCAGATAAGGTGCAAAACAAAAATTAAAAAAATCAGCCCTGCATATATTTTATATTCATTGCTTGCAAAAATCTACAAACACATCATATTCTTAAATGATACCCACCAGACTACAAAAGAAAGAAACATCATTCTAATACAGCCTTTCAAACTGTCTTATAAATCCATTCTAGCTGGACATTCTGGATATTGCAATTTGAAGATCAGGGAAGTGTGTTCTAACACATCAGCAAATAAATACATACAACAGAGAAAGCATATTACTCAGTGCCACAAGCCATGCATCATACCTTTGTTATATCAACATATAAGAAGGCCGCTCATCTTAAAAAATACAACTTTGGCAGGTTCACAATAGCAATAAAACAAAACAAAACAAAGAAAAAAGCAAATATTTGGTGCCTCCAACCTCCTCCTCCAATGTATTTTTTCCCAAGTTTCAACTTCACTTTATGGAGGAAGAAGCCGCTTTTTACAGCCTTCTGGAAGGTCAAGAGAGTGGGGCATTGGCAGATCCCAAGGAGAAGGATATTATAGTTCACTAGGCACCCACTTTGTGTATTCCTCCTTTGTGAACGCTATCCATGTATTCCTATTGTTTTCCTATTCTTCAATCATCTGGGAATAAGGATCCACTATCTACTATCTTCAGTGGCAATTACTCTACTACAGAAGTTACAAACTGATTGGAATTAATCTGATGTTTACATCACTTTTAACTGACATGATTCTAACACTGAAACAAGTCTCCATTAGAGTAGGAAAAGGAATACTTACTTTATATGGGCAAAGAGGATCTTGCCTGCAAGCAGTGGCAATGCCTGGATTATTGTGTAAAAAATATGGGATATGTTCTTCTGGCAACATGATGGTTTCATAAGGATACCTTGGTTCTTGCAAAATGTTGCTGCCATTGTGAAGATTTTCATCCGGTCCCCTGGCTACTATTTTTGGAAAAACAGCTCCCAATGCAAGCAGTATTAACATGGCAGTGGGAAAAACCTAAAGTAAACACACCAAAGATTTATGGACTGTAGAATAACAATTCACCAGCCCTTAAACATTTATTTTTAAACTCATGCAGTTATATTCCCTGACCCAAAAAAATTCTTGACACTGGTATACTACTAATATTATAGATAGTAAACCAATGAGTAAGAGGATTCCTTCATTCCCAAGAGATTCTTGGGAATCAGACAGGAGAAATTATGTAGATTTCCCAAGAGTTCTATTTTCTCTGCTTCTAAAAAAGAATGGAAAGCAAAATAAACATTGTGCAGAAACATTAGATAAGACAGTGTATTAAATTTCATAAAATGTCTATCTTGTTTCTCTGAAAATTGGGCTGTATATGTGCATTAACAACTTTTATATGGTAGTTAAGGAAGGAAGTCAAACTCTTTTGCAAGAAGTTTCTTTAAGACATGAGGAGGGATCAGATCTGATACAAATTTTACACAAAACAGTATCTGGAATTATTTTCATGAATGAATACCTGTTATTTTTCTCCGGTGCCAGAGCCAAAACTGGGGAGCCAAAATTGTGGTTTTCTTAATAATCCATTCAGTGAATGAGAGGGATTTGTCCTCAAATCCTGTGCCATAAAACCAAAAATCTGACTTCACAAATTGTACAAAACCAAACCAACTATACCAGCCATAGCATATTCTGAACCTTGCCTCCGACTGCTATTCTCTCATTGCAACACTTATTTCATCGCCAAGACGGTATTATTAGATAAACAGAAGCTGTCTGCTTTCTTCCTCAATGTTTCTCATGTCTACAGCTATCTCCAAATTTGAAAGTCATGCTTTTGACTTTTTTTAAGGTTCTTCTTGAAGCCTTTGCTGTACTCTTGTAGTTCCCAAATTCTAACATAGGTAGTGAACCCAATTTAACCACATGTAGCCAAAACCATCTTATATTGTTCTGTTCACCTGAAAAGTATCTCACTTTATTTATTTTTTCCCCCTGTCAAATTCTAAAATGTAAATTCAGATTATGACACAGGGAATAATGCACAATAACTTGCAGAAGTAAATCAGCAATAAATCATTCAAAAGTTAGTACTGCAGAATTGGAGAGAGGAAGGAGAAAGGTTTCCATAAACTAGAGCCAAGTTTCCAAACACAACAGAGGAAGGGGGACAATGGGAAGCCTAAATATACAAAAGTCCCACATGTAGATCTTTAGTATCATTCCTAGGACAGATCCTGATGGGTGAACAGGGAAGTTGTAATCCAAGATATTTGGGCCACCAGGTTGGGAAGATTATGATAAACAGTGGTGATAACAGTTTCACAGGGCAGGTGAGTTTTCTGAGGACATTTAAAGGAGAGCAAGAAAAGACACCATGAAAATTGTTCAGCAAGGCATTTTTGGTAACAGAAAGCCTAGGAATCCCACCCAACCCCTGAAATCAGCAATGCTCTTTAGGGAGACGACTGACCTGGGAGAGAGGTCTTTTATTTGGACCTTGCAAATATTCAGGCTTGAAATGAATGGGATTTCCTGCCAGCCTCATCTTACGAAAGGAGAAGAGCCCAATAAGCGATTTCTTGTTCTCCAGGAGGCTGGCATGGGGCGAAAGCAACGCTGCAAACGCCCGAGGGGACGAGTGGGACCCCCAAAAGAAGAGAATCCCCGCAGGTGAAAGGCGGGAAGGTCCGAAGCGCCCGCCTCGGGAGAGTCATACTTACACCGCCAAAACTCTCGCCGCGATGGGAAAAGCGCGCCTCCTTCGCGCAAGGCGAGCGAAGGGTCCAGTGGCACCTCGCCGACCTCCCAGTTGCCGTCTCTCCGGAGTTTCTCCGGCCGCGACCCGGATCCTCCTTCCCCCGCGAGGAAAGAAGGCAGGCAGGCAGGCCGGTAGACAGGCAGGGAGCCCCGATGGCAGCTGCGGAAGGAGGGGCCAGCGCGGGGTGGCTCGGCCCTCCGGAAGGCAAGGCGCGCTGCTGGGGGAGCGCAATGGGGAGGCCTGGGCCGGGCGGCTTCTCCACCGGCCTGGCGTCCCTGGGGAACGCGAAGCCCTGCGAGGGCAAGAGAGCCGCGCCGGATAGTCCGAGGCTGTTTCAGCCGGGAGGATCGGCGTCCAAGCAAGCTGGGTCTTTCACGGCGGCCTCTCCTCGGCGACGGCCACAGCTGTCTGGGATGTGAACGGAGACGCTTTCCCACGTTCACGTGATCTCGGAGGATGCCCAAGCCCTTGAGAGTCTTAAAACAGCATGTCTCGAACTCAAAAATAAAAATAAAGGGGGGGGGGGGACACACGGACTACTTTTTTCTAAAACGGGAGGAATTAATATTGAAATACGGCATATTTTCATTAAGCAACAGGTGGGAATAAGAGAAGGTAACTAGATGCAAGCCTAAATGTCTGTGGAGATACCCAATCATCCAGGTCATGGTTGTGATACATGCAGCCTAGTTTGGACAGGGAAGGAAGACTAACAGGGAATCAGAGGTTGATTTGATGGGGAAGTTGAGGAACATCCTGGAAAAAAGCAACGAAGGAATTTATTCTTGCAAAGAATGCCCTGGATGTATCCACTGGTCACCAGCAGTAAAGCTGCAGGGCATCTTTACTTTTTAATATTGTTATCCCACCTTTTCTTCAGCAGCTCAGGTTGTCTTGTATTGGGATTTTCCTTTATTTTATTCTGAATAGCAAACTGTCTTGCAGAGGTAGGAAAGTCTGGAGTGATTAGCTCAAATCACCCTGGGCCTCCCAGTCTTGGACCAATGTGTTAAAATACACTAATTATAAATCTTAATGAGACTTAAATACGTGTGACGATATCGTATCCATGTCCATGCCCATATTAAGACAGTAATTGAAACTACTGTATTTCAGTATTTTAATTGTTGTTGTTAATTGTGAAGTCGTGTCCGACCCATCGCGATCCCATGGACAACGTTCCTTCAGGCCTTCCTGTCCTCTACCATCTTCTGGAGTCCATTTAATTGTAGTGAATGCAATTAATCTTTCACAAAATGTATGTTGAAGGAAAGACCTCAGTGCCCTCTTTGGATGTTGTTTATGTGCTTTCATTCAAAACTCTTCTAGTGATGTCTTCTTCATTCTTGGATTTATTATTTGTTTCTTTAGTGAAATGGATCAAAAAATTCTTCTGTCCAATCTTGCTAAATTGTTTCTGATTCAGGAACTTGTAGAATCTAGTTTGCAAATTCTGAGAAGTCTTTAGCTTTTTTGATGAATCAATGAAATTGGATTGTATCAAATGCAAAATTGAAAATGCTCCTCCAGATTCTTACTAATGATACACAGTGTTTTTGTAACATTATATAACTACAGTGCAGTATTGTTAAGGGGATATATCACTAATGGAGACCATCTGTGCTACAGTAGTTGTGACAGTACAGTATAATTATCTAGTGAGGAAATAGTCTGAAAAAGAACTTTTAAATCCTCATTTAAGTGGATTGAAAGAAGCAACAGAGCCTAAAGTTCTTAATTTTAGTTTTAGTTTAATTCTTTAGTTTAAGAACTAAAATTCTTAGTTGTTTGATTTTTGAAAGGGAGGAGTTACTGCCCATTTGCAGTTTTAAATTTGCACCAATATGCTCCTGCAATCTCTGAATTCTTTTTGTATGACACAAGCTATCTAGTTTCCAGCCCAGAATTAATTGGTCCAGTATGATTACGTTAAGTTTATTAAAAAATAGTTAATTTCTTTCTTTAAGCAACAGGATTTATGCCACCGAGATAATGTATGCCAAATATGTACATTGCATCCTCTTTTAGAGACAACTAGATCAGATGTGGGTATATCCAGAACTGTAATCGTACTCACTTGTCACAGCTTGGCATCCAATGCTACCATTTATATGGCTTTTTCTCTCAGCGAACAGTCCTTGCTCTCCTCCTCTCAAACAATTAAGGATTTTAGTTGAATATAGGCTCTGTTGCTTGTTTCAATCCACTTTTTTCTTATTTCACTCCATTATATCCCAGAAAAAGGATGGTTTTATAAAGCAATAAGATATAGAAGTTTGAAATTCAGAAAGGCACAGATATTTTCTCACAGTATTGTGAAAGTAATATCAGTTATGATAGGAATATTATCAGTAACCACAGAACCTTTCATTTCCATTTTGTGCTAGGAAGTACAAGATGAAACATATCTCTAAGTATTGAGCTGACTTCGTTTCTGAATTGTTCATAAAATGGCACAGTTTGCAATCTTCAAAAATAATAGGAAGATTGCCCCTATTTTAAATAGGGAGAAACACTGCATTTTGTGTATTGTTTGAATACTGTACATAGAATTTAAACAACGACAAAATTGATGCGATAGTATTTCAAAGGTTTTAAGCACTATATACTGTGTTGGCTTCTAGAAAAGAAATAGCATATAGTTAAATGACTAGCATTAATATCTCCTCCCCAAATTCCAACATTAATTTTTATGAAGTGGAAAAATAAATTAAACCTAATATTTCTGAAAAACAGATACAGTACTGTTTTTTTATGGATGGTACACCCTACCATCTCACTTAGAAAATATAAACTGTTGAAAGATTTCAAAAAGTGTACAAAATGCAATGGAGAATGAGGATCATGTGACCATAGCAATTCAGCAATGCTGAAGAAGCCACAACTTCCCCAAATGTTATTCCTTTGGGAGTAATGAGTACCAGCATTCCACAAGATAGCCAACTCGAGGTACCTTTGTTGGCAAAAGCTTTCCCCTGTGATGCACCAGTTAAAGATTAGAGGGGCAAGATTTTATATATATATATTCCAAAAAATACAGCAAATAAGTTAACTGTGTACCTTGAAAGAAAACTTACTTAAGATAGGAAAATGGAGAAATGTTAAAATGTGCAACTAGTGATAGAAAGGTAGCCTTGTGAATAGTCGACTACTTGTTGAAATAAGGTATTATCACTATTATAAAATTATGTCTCTATCCCTTTTTTTTAATATGAAAGTGATGCTTGGGTATGTCATGTCATGTTGAGTCTAGTGGGAATGTGATACCTAAGGAGGGTGTGCGATGAAAGATGAGCATCAACAATGAATAAATACAGATTAAACCATTATGAACACTATACACTGAGGTTAGCTTGACCATATAGGAAGTATTGCAAAATAAATGTTGAAGGAGGAATGAATGAATCAACAGAAAGAAGATCAAGAATTTTGTGGTTGATGGAGTTGAAGAGATCTTCAAAATAAAGGACGAGAAGTTTAAAGAACAAAAGGCAATATAGAAAGCAGTGTACGAACAGTGGAAGTATAATGAAGTGTTATAAACTAGATTTAACTATATTTCATTTTGTTATGATCTGTCTTTAATTTCTTTGGTTTATTATTAATATTTTTTGCTTATCTTAAAATGGAATTGTGTGATAATTTTGTATCACCGTTTGTACCAATAAAAACTCAACCCATGCAATGAGAACCTATTTTATCACTGATATTTTTCAATTTAAGAAAATATAAAACATTTCAAATATTTTACTCAGACCAACCAAAATTTAAACAT